GCACTATGGATTATTCTTCCTTTATTTCCTGATGATGTACAGAATCAAAATCTTCAATCTTTCAAGGAAAGTGAGACAAGTTGAATTGGCCCAGTTATCCAGTTTAATTTGTCCTTTTTGTAGCCTTTGCTATGCACGGTACTTGTAAAACGTACATAACTTCTGAGTATTATGTTAGACTTGCTGAAATCTTATCTTCAGTACCATTTCTAAATGATAATGGTTATAGAATGGTTGTTAGTGTTCATGTTTTATAGGAAACTGGAAAAGAATATATGATATACTCTGGAATTTTTAGATGAAAGAGATAATGTCTCTTAATTCCTACATATGATCCTACTGACTGCTTAAACTGTAATAGCATCTGACTATATCACAATTAAGGGCCTTCCAGTTTTTACTACAATTTCTGCCTTGGAGGAAGAGGAGGGAAAATTGGCTGTATAAAACTCTGGAATTGATGAATCTTATAAAAAGACTGATTTCAATAGACTGGATTTGGGTACACTCGGCCCTTCAGTTGTACATTTTGTGAATTTTGAAGCTCACTCTTCTGCTGACTGCAGATCAGGGCTCCGTTCAGAGGCCTGTGGTAAATCTACCTCTCGGTGATGTTAAGATTAATCAATTAAGATTTTGATTAATGGTTAATGCCCAGTTTTGCACCCTTTATAGGGCCAGATCTATTTTAAGATGTCTGCAGAGTTCCATGGCACTTCTTGAAATGCAATCCTGAMCAAAGGATGCAGTACAATGGGTTTGCTCTGAAGCCTGTAGGGAAGGGAAGACAGTGTGAGGGTTTAACCTTTCTGCTCTACCTTACATTTAGCTGGTTTAATCCTTTAAACTGCTCTGAAAAAGATATCCTTAATTATTACTTCAAAGTGAGTTCAGTWGAGAAACAAATCCCTGACTTCTTGGAATGCCTTACGCAGTTGCAGATCTGTAGGAAACACTGATAGGAACAGTTTACCTGGCTTTGTGTTTGTTTACCTGCACRGAAATACAAATGTACTGAAATGTGAAGTACTTTGTATTTTAGTGGCTGTTTTGGCAGGGCTTGAGATAATGGTGGTCCAAGTGCTCTGTGTCCAGATCCAGTCACCAGAGAATTTCCATCATATGGAGATGGGAGGACTAGATATTTTCAGATGTGTGATTTTTTTTTTTTCTTTTTGTATACCTCTGTGTTAATTTTGATTTGTAAGTATGTTTTAAAAATGACAGGAATATGTTAACTGCTTTTTTTCCAACATCATTTAGCCCTTAAASCAGAATGGCTTCCGTACTGATTAAAAGGGAATGGTTTAGTTAYCATGTTGTTTGAAGTTGCCAATGAATTGTTGAGATACCTTTTTCTGATGAGGCACTCAGGTTCAGAGTTAGAACAGCTCTTTGGTATGAARAGAGGAACTGAATTTTCCTATGGACCTTTCCCAAAACATTATTTAGAAGGCAAAGTCAAGTAGTTCTTAATACAGGCTTACAGTATATACTGTAGAGGGTTTAAGGAAGCTGTGCACTACTGAAGATATTTTAAAATGTTGGTAATAGACTTTGTGCACAAATTATGGCTTAGAAATTCCATAATTCCAACATTCAACTCCTTGATACAGCTAGATTTAGGGTGTCTCATCTGCTGTCTTTAATTCTCACCATAGTAAGAATGAGACTCCATAATGGTCTGCAAAGAACATGAGGGCTTGTCTGCCGTGCGTAGTGAAAAACCTGTCAGACCGGGAGTTCAGCCTTAATTTTGAATCATTTGATTTCAAAAATAATCCTGGGTTAAATAAAAGCTTMTACTCCAGAATGCTGTCATTTGGTTGTGCATTTTGTTTCTTGTAAGTCTGGAAAATCAGATGTTTATCTTGCACATCAAGAATTTGCTTGATGGAAATCTAAGATTTTTATTCTTTACTTGGGTTTAAAGAAAATCTTACACGRGAAGTGAAAGTTTACTCCTTTGTCCATATGGACTCATTGCTWATGAATTGCCAAAGGAGCATTTTTTCCAAAACTAGATGTGTATGATATTAAGCAAGGTAATGTCCTTTTTAGCTGTACAATGAAGAGAAAGAAATATTTAAAGTTAACTTAACATCACTTAAACATGAGTTTTAATTTCAGTAATCCAGTAAGATGGATTGCAATAATATAAACAGTCTTTTGAGGTAAAAAATGWTACTTTAAAATCTGATCAACTACTAGCAATACTTCAATATCTGCCTGGYAATCAAGTGGCACAATGAAGATGAACCAGTAATTCCAACATGTTACATTATAATGAGGGGATTTGTTCCAAATCATTCATTACACTCTCTGTAATTTCTTGCACTAGCTACTTAAGCCTGGTCTCTGTTTTAGAAGTACATGTATCTATTTTCAATGGTTTATTATGAGGACTGGTTACAGCTTAATTCCTTCTCTAGTAGAATACCTGGATTGTTTGAAGAATGAAGGCATTGTCTCAATTTGGCTACTAAAGGCATTTCAAAGATGTGATTTTTCCCACCTAAAGAAGCTTATTTAAACATTAGGATCTGTAGTGAGAAGCCAAGAGAGTGACAAGAGTGTCCATTTTCAGTGGGGACACCTGTACTCTCCCAAATCCCCCAGCTGCAGATACATCGTGTGTAACTGCATTAATGGAAATTGCCATTTGCATAGAAATGAGCGGATTTAACATTTGTTTCATATCCTTGTTGATGCACTAATGAAAGCCATTTAAGCCTCATTCTTTTTATCAGTATTTTTAGCAGAATTTTATGTAATACTCAATCTTTCATGAGGAGGCTGGTTGGTAGAAAGAATTTTTTTTTTGTGATTAAGCACTATCCTAAAATGTCAGCATTGTCAGTGAYTTGGCTATTTGTGTTGGAGTTGGGGAAAGGTGGAATCCAAGTACATTAGCCTTATAAGAAATAGCCTTAAATAAGAATGGAGTGTACAAAATTACTTCAGCTTTAAGTCATACGCAAATATCCTTGTATGTTAATGGTTTTGGTACAAAAGGGGAAGAAATCTAGAGGAGAGTTAAACATCATATAAACTTATTGAAAATAAGTATTTGTAATACCAGCAGCCTGTTTTTCAGAAACTTGAATATGACTTACAGTTAGTTTTGTTTATGAAATTGTTTGAACTTGCACAGATGTAGGTGTAACTTAAATGATAAATGGTACTGATGTGTGTGTATATATAATGTTTAATTCTATTTGTAAATGAGAAACTATGTAACAAAATCATAGGTATGAGGTTTTCCTATTGTAATTTAATACAGGTATGAGGTTTATGGCAATATATCATAGTTAATGAAATTTCAGGTCAAAATGTCTTTAAATTGTGTACATTTTTAAATTGTAATTTCTACTGTATATTGATTATCATGCATAGTGTGATTCAAGAAACTGCTTGTAATTTAAAAATATTTAATATTAAAAATAAAATACAGTTATATATTTATAATCTCTTTGTCTGTTTGTTCATTTTTAAACAGATGCCAGCAGTGTAGTTCCAGTGTAAGATACATTTATTAGTGTCCTGAGGTTGAGAAAGTTCCAAAAGCTCAGAGCCACAGTTCCAGCAGATGARTCCACGCTAAATAGTGTAGTCAGCTTTAATTTCTTCCAGTGTCAGCCTTGTGGAAATTTCAGGTAAAGTGTGTCATAGAGAGGTAATAATTAAAACTGCAACAGGTAATTCTGACTABTGAATATTGCTTTTAATCATAGAGTTAAAGATCTGTGGGAAGAATGGGGATTTGAAATGTGTAAGCTCAGAAAACAGGTTAATGATGCTTTTTCAGTGCTCATTGAAYTTCTTTCTAGAAGACTTCCTTGTGTTTTTCACTCTAACTGCATGTKCTGAATGGACCAAAGATCACCAGGTAAAGAAAGGTAGTACTGGTGTATACTGGGAGCTCCTTTGGTGAGACACTGGGGACACTGGGGCTGTTCCAGGCTGGGCACTCGGTGAGGCAGGAGGACAGTGCTGGTTCTCTGTTTGGGTTGGGATGGCTCAGGGCACTGCTGGTTTTCCCTGTTAGGTTCAGGATGGCTCATGGCACTGCTGGTTTTCTCTGTTAGGTTCAGGATGGCTCAGGGCACTGCTGGTTTTCCCCGTTAGGGTCAGGATGGCTCAGGACACTGCTGATTTTCTCTGTTAGGTTCAGGATGGCTCAGGGCACTCCTGGTTTTCCCTGTTAGGTTCAGGATGGCTCAGGACACTGCTGGTTCTCCCATTAGGGTCGGGATGGCTCAGGGCACTGCTGGTTTGCCCCATTAGGTTCAGGATGGCTCAGGACATCCCTGCTGTGTTGAGGGAAGCTCTTGTGGAAGCCCCCACCTCACATCGCAGCTGTTGGGTCCCAGCACCTGTTGTGACCTGGGAATGAGCAACTGATATCAAAATGACTTAACTTCATTAGGTAAAATATAACTACTGGGCTGAAATTTGACCGAGGCAGTGGTCATTAATGACAACAGATGTAAAAGATCCCATGGCACTAAAYTGGTCACCTTATATAGAACTTATTATCAAAGAATTTGAGAACTTAGGAGCAGCAGCGTTCCTTGCAAGGGGTGGCAGTGCCGTGTCTGTGGGACTTTCACACGGGTGCTGTGACAGCTCACGGAGCAGAGCCGAGACAGACTCTGTGCTGCTGCACCCGGGACAYTGCAGCGGCTGCAGGAGGCTCTGGGTGCCCCCTGTGCGGTGCCAGAGCTCTGTGAGGCGGTGGCGGTGACAGTGGCACTGCTGCAGTGCCGCCGAGTGCTGCTGCCCCGTGTCACCGGTGTCACCGGCAGCCCGCGGTGCGGTGCGGTGCGGGGTGCCCGGTGCGGTGCGGGGTGCCCGGTGCGGTGCGGGGTGCCCTGCCCGGCCCTGCCCGGCCCGGTGCGGTGCCTGCCCGCGGTTCGGAGCGCTCGGAGCGGAGCTGCCGGGCCCGCCCCCGCCGCTAAAGCCACGTGTCGGGGCAGCACCGCCACCTGCGGCCGCCTCCGCCCGCGGGCTCGGGGCAGCGCCTGCCCGGCGCTCCTCAGGCCGGGGCAGCCCGGGGCCCCTCTGACAGAGCCTCCCTCAGCCGAGGACGCGCAGCCTGCCCTCCGTGTTCCCCTCACAGCCGTGCTGCTGTTCGTGGCTGCCCCTGGCTCTCCGCCGCCTTGCCCCTCGGGCCCAGGCGCCTTCTCAGCGCTGGTGCAGTGGTAAGTCACAGAGGAGGGATGGCAGCCCTGCTAGCCGGCTGCAGAGGCTGTTAAAGGTGTTGGTATCTGGCTGCTCTCTCTCTCTCTCCGAATTCTCTTGACCACTCCAGTCTGTTGCTCCTGATCCCCCCACAATCTATTTGTCTTCCAAGCTGAATCTGCTCCTTGCACACTCGCACCACCTCTCTGGAGCTCCCCTCAGCTCAGCTGGGTCTCTGTAAGGTTGCTTCTCTGGGTTCTAGCAGTGGCAGTCTGACAGCAACGCTCTGCCAGCTCAGCACTTCGTTATCCCAAGATACCAAATTGCTTTTGCCCAGCCTGGAGTTTTAAAGGCTACTTTGCTTCCACAGTTTGAAGTTTCCTTTCCCTTGGATCTTCTTCCACCTTTCTCTCCTGGCTGCCTCCTTGACCCTGCTCTTCACCAAGTCCTGTGAGCTGTTTTCTTCCAAACAGCAGCTCTCCCCAGCAGCGCTCTGTGCTGGGCTGGGGAAGCTCCTTCTCCACTGCTCTGTGCCGCAGTTGTGCCTTTTCTGCCAAGAGAGTTACACAAAGAGTCCAGAACAARCCCAATGCTTCCCCTTGGACCTGTTTTCTCACTGAAGATACTTGTGTATCTCCAGCATTTTTTAGGCTCCCCCAGCACAAGCTGATTGCTGCTTGGTGCAGTCTCACAGCTGTCATCACCTGAGTGCTGCCCTGACCCAGCTGCTTTGTGAATTCCTGTCCTGGTGGGTAAAGTTTCCTCTCAGGCAGTGAGGAAGCTGGGGATGGCCAGGATGCCCTCACAGGCAGAGAACTGAGTCACTGTGCAAGCCCAGCAGCTGAACATGGCTCTGAAGAAATGCAAAACGAGACAGGAGGTGCTATTTATTCACCACAGCACAGCCAGGAACTGCCACCACCTGCTCCAGCCACGGTTCAYGTCTTGTACCGGGACAGTCTCACATCTGGAGCTAGGCCTGGGTTCCTTTTTTCTTCATTTTTTATTGGCTCACCAACTCTCAAACTGCTCCTACAGTATAGTATTCAAATAGACAATATAGACAATATAGACATTCAAATGTATTTTGTTTAGGTCAAACCTTTTTATGAGTACATGAACTTGGAAGCCCATGGAAGGAACGTATTTTGGGAATTCCTTGGTAACACTGATCATTGCTGTTAGAGGCAGGCTTGCTGTTTGAGGCTGTTTTCAGATATAGTGTGGGCACAGAATCTGAGCTGAGGGGGGTAAAATGTCACTGCTGTCATCTAATGCAGAGGAAGGAACATTGCTGTGTCTTTTGGATAACCTGGAGACTAGACTGCTCTGTTGCTGTTGATCCTGGGGCAGTAACTGTAATTAAGCCCTGCWGTTATTGGATTGTTGTTGGAAGAGAGAAGTGGTTTTTTTTTTTCTGTGTGTGCACGGTGGGGACTAGCCCAGAACACAGAAAYGCTGCAGCTGCAAACACGTGGCTGGCTCAGAGCTTCTCCCTCAGCGTGTGCCATGTTTCCCTCTAGTGGACTCCTCACATGGTGGAAACCTGTGCCTACAAAAACCAATTACCAGCAGTTCAAGGAGAAATTACTATGAATAAGAGCCTGAGGGGTCTGTCTAATACTCCACCATAAGCCAGTGTATGCACACTGAAGTGGTGCATGGTTTTATTATCATGGGGTAGTGAGGAGACAGCAGGAGTGTATGAGATCAAACACCAGAGGTGATCTGTTAGCAAACCTGCCTGCTGTACTCAGTGCAGTTTGATGTGGTTCATTGTCTACAGAAGGACTGCATCAGCTTGGAGTCCATTTTCCCTTATGTGATAAAGGAAAAATCTCTCTACTGTGAGGCCTGTTTCTAAGAAGGTAGAGGCATCTGTTTTTCACCAGTTGGCAATTCCACTGCATCTTTGCTTCACTGCTTCCATTTGCCTGCCCTCTGCTCCCTCTGCRAGCTCTCCTCCCAGCTGAGTATTGGTGTTATGTTTTTACAGCACGTTGATGGTTAATAGCAGTACACCCAACAAAACATGAAGACTAAAACCAAAGGAAAGAAGCCAAGGCAAACCGTTGATAAAGAAACATTTTCCGAAGAGCCGGCAATGAGGAAAAAGGAACTGGTGAAATGTTTGCGACACAAAGAAAGGAGGAATGGGGGAAACAAGGAGAGCAGCAAGATGCCCACAGGCAGAGCCAAGCGTCCTTGGAGCAGTAAGGACAGGCTTTTGAGGAGACTGGAGAGCAACGAGCGYGAGAGGCAGAGGATGCACAAACTCAACAACGCCTTCCAGGCTTTGCGCGAGGTGATCCCTCACGTCAGAGCTGAGAACAAGCTCTCCAAAATAGAGACCCTCACGCTGGCCAAAAATTACATTAAATCCTTGACCTCCATCATACTCAATATGTCCAACGGACACTTTCCAGCAGTAGAAGGGATGGGGGGAGCCTGGGGGTCCAAACTGTACCAGCATTATCAACAGCAACATGGGGAGGGTGACCATGAGGATCATCTGCAGAAATATTCCACATAGATTCSTAACTTCAGCCAAAACACCAACCCCCAGCTGCTACTGTGATTGTTTTTCCTTCTTACAGCATTATACATCATTACCTAGAAGTTTAAAGAGATTATTTTTGTCTCTGGTCTCCCCTAATTTTTTTCTTAACAAGACAACCACTCATTGCTGTAGTTTATATGGCACATTCAAAAAAATATCTTAAACCATCAGAATTTTTTGGAGCATAATGAATGTATTTGTGTGGTGTGCCAGGGTCTGGAAACCTATCCTATAACACTGCAGTTGASTTGAAAATAGCCATTTAGTAGCTTCTGAAAATTGCCCTCCCTGGAGTAGTGAGTTGAGCYTTTCAGGTCTGTGTCACCTGAGTTGTCTGGAGTTTTTTGAGATCTTGGCTGTAGCTCTGYTCACCTTTCAGGGACTCATCTGCTGTGCTCCAGAGAAGATTAAAATTGATGACAGCATTTGACTGACTGGGTGACTGAAGGGGCACGTATGGGAAATCAGTCACCAAATCTGAATATTTATCTTGGTATTTAACTTCTATGGATCTGCTCTCATAATTTTAAACTTTGCAAGGCATAAAATCATCCATTGATRCAAACATCTGCAAAGCTTTCTTAGATTGTAAACTCTCCAGAGTAAGGACAGTTCTGATCCTTGTTTCCAGAGCATCTGGCCTCATGAAGGTTTTCTTTAGTGGCTGTCTGGGTGCCATTGTAATACAAACAATAAATAGGAGACAAATTATTTACTTCTGCCAAAACAACGATAAAAATGCTTTAGCATAGTCTTAAGTTGGACAATGATCTGGCCAATTTAAATTATTTGCTTTTGAAGCCTGTGATTTGATCAGGTTCTTTCTGCGTTAGTGTTAGATTCTGACAGCATAAAACAATAAATGAAGCAGAACATCTTCAAAAAGGTAAATGAGCTTTTTTTTTTTTCTCTCCCCATATCACCTTCTGTGGTAAAAAAGTTTTCTATCATTGTAGAACAACACCATGGTTTATATGTGTGGGTGCCTCACTAGAGGTCATTTGGATCCTGTGCTGTGTTCTTGGACATGTCAAAAGGGATTTTGTAAGAAGCATTTTTTTCTGATAAATTATTTTATTTTTCAAAATTGCTTCAATTTAAAGTCACTTTTCTTATTTTAACTAGTCACAACAATGACATTACATTTTAAAATTAAATAATTTTCTAAATAATAGTTTTAGAAGGCAAATACTTAGTACTCAAACATAAACAACTTACAACTTATCTTTTTTTTCACTTAAACCCAGTATTTTGCAGTAAAGTAAGTGAAACTTGGCAATGTAGGGRAAAATGCAAAGGTACATTATAAAGCTTATTGTATGCAATCAGGTTGATTGTTGGAGATGTAAACACTGACTATTAAAAGGAAAAATCTTGATACAATGCAGAGAAAAATACAATCCTAATAATTCTCTAAAAATACATGTCATAAAGTTATTTATTTGGACAAGATACTGTGCAAGTAATGCAAAACCTATTATGGTAATTAATGCAACACATTATTTATGGTTCTCCCACAATGTATGTATAAACCAGAGATCTCTAATCACATACTGGAAAGATCAACAGGTTCTTTTTTAACAGTGAAGCATCTTCAATCTTCATTCACATTTGGACTTGGAAACAGTGCTTTCCTTGGCTTTAAATACCAAATATATTCCTTAAATACGTGCAAACATAATTTTTACTTCTACACATACAGTACTGAGACCACACCAAACTGTTTTTCATACAAAAATAGCTTCATATACAGTCACACACAGAGAAATGAATGTAAACTATTCATATAAAGTCCAAATAAGTCATGAAAAAAAGCTTTTTTTGGAGAATAGAAAGTGGTTTCATGTTGGAAAAGGGGATGAATAAATCAATTAGTAAAAGCAAAGAGTAGAGCATCATTCAGAATTGCAATCAGTGTATGCTGATAAGCTCCACTGATAGCAGTAAAGTTGTTCATTCACATCAAAACATCTTCATCGGGGCTCAAGAACATTGTGCAAGATGGGTGAGTGTGAGAGAAATGTAGGGAAAGTTAAAAAAAAAAAAAGAATGTAGTGATCATCATTCACATTTGTATGGTGTGTAGCAGCTATGTGAAGGGTCAGAAATACATTGTGGTGAAAAACCTTGCCTGCTTTGACAAAACTATGAACTCTATCAAGTCACATTTTACACAAGATGCATTAGAAAGATTCAGTACTTCAAATACCCCATTGCAAAGTCCAGTTCAGTCACACATTTTAGTAGCACAAACATGTCATCTTTCTCTCTCCAAGCAGTAGACATTTAGTTTCYTTTTAAATTACTGACTGCTGCTTGTTAGCAACACGTAGATGGCAACAATTAACAATTAACAGCATTTCTGTCCAGTTCTTGACTTTCACTGACCATCAGAGGGGTTTTAGAGTGTTCTGTTTTCCCTTTACCCTCCTCATCCTCTCCCTCTTTTGACACTGCCAGGTTTTCCTCGGTGGTGTCGGGCACAGCGAGCCGAGATGCTTCTGTTGCATTTCCTCTGACTGTGATGTGCTCCCAGCCACCCTGGGAAAAAAGTGATACAGAAATTCAAAAGGAGAAACATCACCCTGCCAGGGCTGTATCTGACGTGATGCTTTATGTACACCATTATTTTACACTGTTTGTTCATGGGGAAAGTAATCCTGATCTGGGATGAACTAAAGGCTTCTTGCAAAATGAAACAAAATACAACAGACCGCCCTGACGGGGAGTTAGAGAGGTGSTAAACTTGAGGATTATTTTTTATCACAGGGAATTGAGATTAGTAGGGTCAGGCATTCCTAACAGAGCCACTGCAGATGTTCCACCAACTTAAAAGGTGGCAAAACCTTGAAATAGCCTTTCTCAAAACATTGAGAATAACACAGGSTACAACAATGAGAAACAATCATGTGCAGACCAGGAAGGAATACACTTTTAAAAAAAGGCTCTCATTCCACTATAATTTTTAAACTCTCTGTTTCAAATGAATACTTACCCAATGCAAATAAAGAATTTATTTGCACTTACCCCAATGCCATAGTCCCAGGAGAGGCCTTTGGGCTCCATGGGCTGGACGCCGGTGCGGTGGCACACGGTCCCACAGCTCAGACTGTGACTGCCCTGCACTTTGTCAGCAATCACCCACACCTCGGGGAGCAAAGACAGGCAATCAAATGTGCTGCTCTTCCCAGATGCAAAATCCCTGTGTGATTCCTTTTAGAAATCAGGCCTGGTGTTCAATAGGCTGAAAATGCTCTCATTTAGGCAGAGAGACACCCAAACAAACTATAGAGCAGTGTTATGATTAAAACATTGCCAGATAAGATTTGGCAGGAAAGAGATTAAATATATACAAAGCCTTGTTAAAATATATAGCCTTGCTAAAAACCCAGAAAAATAATTAATGGAGGCTTTTTACAGCAGARGGCGTGGCTGCATCACTATTTCATTGGTATGATTTTTGTCCTGTTATCAGATTCCAACATTTAGATCAACACTTGGTGGAATAAAGTCAAACTAAACTAAGGCTGAAGAACATTTAATTACTAAAGTGTGTTTTACATAATTTTAAAGAAGCTAATGAGATAGTAGGAAGTGTAATACACACCTGGTCCAGGGGCCCTACAGACATTTTACGGATRTTGTTGGAAACATGATCCCAGGTAGATCCTTGAGGGTAGCTGGGGGTGATTCCCTGCCGGTACCAAAGATTGCCTGTGAAATCAAGAGTGCTGGTCACAGCCCAGCAGGGCTCTTTGTCTGARGTGCTGTAAACAACATAAATCAGCAGCTCATTCTTTGTGTTCTGGGGGAATGCCATTTTGGCTAATGTGTTACAGAGATGGACAAAATGAATTCCCACTTTGGAATCTGTRTTTCTATCAAAACCAGCAAATACTCTGTGTAAAACTTGGGGAAAAATGTTCAGATAAGGAAGWATGCACTAGAAAACAAAAGCAAATGAGATGAAAGTTTCTGAATCTGGTGTTAAAGGTTTGTTTCTTTGACAAAAGGTGGTTCTTGATTGATCTGTTTTGGAGCAGGATTCCAGACCAAAGCCTGCCATGCAGTTCTCTTCCCTGACATTCAGCTGTGCCATTGAAGAGCAGAGATGCTTTTCAGAGCCTCTCCTTTTTAAATCTGGTATATACTGATGTCATTTTTGTAGCACTAATGTTTTTTTTTTAATCCTTACCATTTTTATCCAAGACAAACACAGATGTTCTTCCTACTGAGACTTGCTTTAACTTCTGTTTTTGAGGTGAAGGGATATGGTACCAACAGTCACCTAAAGGTCAGAAATCTTGAGTTAAACATTGAGGAAATAGAATTAGGAAATGCTTGCAGTTGAAATAGATTGCTGTGCAGGAAAGCTGTGAATGATGTCGCACTTCATATATTTCGAACCACTTATTTTTTACAAACACTTTAAATTACACAAGTGAAGAGCAAATTAACTGCCCTCGTTATGTATTATTTGTATGCACTCTTTAGCACAGCTATGGGAAAAGCCTCTGGAAAAAGACTGGACGTTTTCAGATGTGGCAGTGGAGTAGAGCAAAAGATAAGATAAAGTACAAGTTCTTACCTGCAGGTTTGTKTGGAGACACTGAACCCCGGTAGAAGGCAGAACCATCTCTAGCAATAGCCCACACTTGGTAAAACGCTCCGATGGAGATGGAAATGAAGGGCTGATCTGTTCCCACGTGCAGCCAGGAGGTTCCCTAACAAATCATGGCAGATGAATTGTGAAGCAACTGTTAAAAACTCCGTGAAAATATTGATGATTATTACCAAGTGAGAAAAAACAACATGGTGAAAACTTTCCTGGAGAATAAACAACTGAACAGAAACAGCGTTGCTGATCCTCAAAGATATTTGGATATATAATGCTTTGAAAAGTTGGACAATGAAGAGCCTTTTCTATGAAAGTCACTGGATTTTATGCATCTGCATGTCTCTGAACATGGACTGTTCTGGACTAGAGCCTTCTTTTTTGATTAATCCCTTGCTTTATACAGAACAGGTGTCTCACAAAAATCAGCTGAAATGGTGCCTCAAATTCCAGACACAGTATCCCAGTTCTCACTGCTGCACTGCCTTACAGATCAGTGCCATTGTAACTGATTGAACAGGGAGGAAAAATTAACTGAAAAATTTTCCCATTTCTTACAGCTTTTTTTTCCAAATTCCAAAGTATACAGCAGATTCTTCTCTCTGCTGTAAGTATGGYTTAAAATCAGTGCATATCCACCCTGACTTGCTTTCAACACGTGTCTATTAAAAGGAAAAAGTTTTTCAAGTTATTGGGACAATCTTTCCCTTTCTGCACACTTTCCTGGACATTTGCCCATTATTTCTGTCCCAGTGCATAAAAAGAAGTCCAATCTGTAGGTTTGTCCAGGCCCAGCTCTCTTAAATGAGCAGAGTCAGCTTCAGGCCCAGAGRAGGATAAACTGCTGATATCAACAGCCTGGAACCACCTAATCCAGATACACCTGGCACCAAGTTCAAAAAACAAACAGARCAAGAGGAACTCTGCTACCAGTGCAGAAAGTGGAAGTAAAATGCTTCATGAGAAGATGGCCAGGAGCTGAGAGAGGCTCCTGCAGGTGATGTGGCACAAGCTCAGGCAGATTATGCAAGAGAAGCCTATTCTAAGGAACGTGGGCAGCAAAGTGACAGGGACTTCCAAGTCTGGGACACAAAGGGATGAAAAATAGCAAGGTGCTTTGAGAGAGGGCCCTGTGTGACTGTGCATATTACATGAAATACTCAACAATCAATGAAAACCAACAGGGAGCCTTACAGCTGGGTTTTGCTGTGTCACTCCAAGCCTGCAGAGCACGTCTCCTTTGTCACTGATGGCCCACAGTGCTACTGCTTCTTCATCATCTGCATCTGAGCTGGGAATTATGGAGATGTCCCACAGGGTAACAGGAGGCACTTCCAGCCATGGCCCATTGGTGACGATCTTACATTTTCTGAAAGAAAAAACCCAAACTTGTCAGAAGTACACACTTTCTATAACTGAATTTGTTTCCCAGTCTATTGTTGACTTCCAGTCCTGAAGTCTTTTCATTAAGTACTAGTCTTTAAAATTTGAAGTTGGTTTTTAACCTGATAACTAAAGTAGACTTGTAGTGAGCAATTAACATTCAARTTCAAAACTTATTTCTATCAAGGTTCCTCACCTTGCCCAGCGCCTCCGTCGGACRAAGTCTTTCATTGTCTTGTGGCCATGGTAGGACCTACCAAAACAGATTTSAAGTGTTCATGAGGATGTGAGAGCATCCCCAATGTCAGTGACAGTTTGCCAAGTTCACCTTGCTGCCCTCCCTCCCTGCAAGTATCATTGTGCCCACAAAAGGGGGAAACGAGGCACTGCTGTGTCCCTGTTAAAGGACAGGTAATGTGCCAAGCAGGAGTGAACACTGCTGTGTCCCTGTCAGAGGACAGGTAATGTGCAAAGCAGGAGTGAGCACTGCTGTGTCCTGTCAGAGGACAGGTAATGTGCCAAGCAGGAGTGAGCAGGAACGAGGGCTGCAGTCTGGTTTTGAGGAGCAGGGGTTTCCTTACGCTGGGAAATCAGCTGCGTACTGCCAGCCTTCCCGGTCCGTGCCGCCCGTCGGGCTGAAGTCGATGTACCAGTCTGACACCTGAGGGGACACTGCCATTAACAACAACACCTCATGAAGGATAAACAGCCCTCCTTCTATTCCCCTCCACCACTGGGAGAGCAGTGACTTACTAGAAACCTAATACCTGAAATACATACATGCAGAGGTTCTCAAATCTTTTTAATTCAGTTGAAAAGTCTTAAGTCACGTTAAACAAAAAACTCCAATCAATGCTTCACATTCTTTTGACTGTGGAAGATWATTATTTTGTATGAATGGGGAAAACAGTGTTAAATGTTACAACAAATCCTGGAAGAAAATGTGATCCCTTGAACTCAAGTCTTGTATCCTACTTGCTAAGCCTGAACTTCTTAGTAAAAAAATTTGTAAGGCAAAACTTACCCAAGACCACTGCGGAGAAGGAGGTTTGGTGTTGGTCTTTGTACATTCCTGCAGGCCAGAGGCGTCACTCCACATGTATCTGTCAGTGGGCAGCCCTCTGTGGTGGTGGAGCAGTGCACAAGGAATGCAAGRTCATTTACAACAGGGAGTTTAAAAGTCAAGAGAAGAAAAGCCTTCCTACTGCCACACACAAAACACTGCCAGCATTAATCTCTGTGTTTGGAAATATGTGAGTGATGAGCACAGTGGGAAAGAATCTGTGCAATTGCTTCCACTTAGACCAAACTTGAGGACAGTTTTCTCTGTAGAGTGATACTCCTCACTACTATTTGAAACTGGAATGTGAATCCCAAATATGTGGCTATGTATTTTTCAATACTTTTGTTCAAATACACTATTCAAGGGCCCAGTGTATTTAGCACAATATTTATATGAATATATAAATCCTAATAACTTTCCTGTATGGCCTTAATAGTGAAAGATACTGCAAGTAGGCACTTTGTGCAATCACAAAGCACAAATCTGTAATGTTTTGCCACAACATTTGCATTTTGAATGGATAATTACRAATTAGAAAATTGAGAAACACTGCTCCATCCATCACAGGTTAACTATGAACATTGGAAGAGACTGAACAGAGTAAGTCTAATAACTCTTCCAAAAAGCTGGAACAAAGCCCTMATTTCATTTGACAGTAATAATACCAAAGTAAATAAATGCAATAAATTGAGTAAATAACCTGCTGCTGTATCCAGTGACYGGGTTCCACCGTTGGTTCTCATAGATGTAAACACATTTCACATCTGACTGTGTATAAATGTTATCAGCACTGCTGGCCAGTCCTGTGAGGAATAAATAACGTGGATTAGAGTACAGCTAAAGACATTCCATTTGAAATTCCAATAAGCACCAATTGTGTTCCCACTGTGCAGCTGTACCTTGGATGAAGCCCCCTCCATATCCCCCGGTGTAGACCCAGGCTGTGTGGTCGTAGCCGATGCCCCACACCACGCCCCGGCTGTTGCACTCGATCAGTCGGAGGTGGCCTCCCACCTGACGCCAAAACCTGCCAGCAAAAAGACACTGTACTCAACAGCTCACATCAGGAATGTGTGCTTCCCCCAGCAACAGCCCAACCTGGGCTTCCCCCAGCAACAGCCCAACAGGACAGCTTGGCCTTCCCCCAGCAACAGCCCAAAAGGACAGCCTGGGCTTTCCCACCAACAGCCCAACAGGACAGCTTGAGCTTCCCCCAGCAACAGCCCAACAGGACAGCTTGAGCTTCCCCCAGCAACAGCCCAACCTGGGCTTCCCCCAGCAACAGCTCAACAGGACAGGCTGGGCTTCCCCCAGCAACAGCCCAACAGGACAGCTTGTGCTTCCCCCACCAACAGCCCAACAGGACAGGCTGGGCTTCCCCCACCAACAGCCCAACAGGACAGCTTGAGCTTCCCCCAGCAACAATCCAACAGGACAGCTTGTCTTCCCCCAGCAACAGCCCAACAGGACAGCTTGAGCTTCCCCCACCAACAGCCCAACAGGACAGGCTGGGCTTCCCCACCAACAACCCAACAGGACAGCTTGAGCTTCCCCCACCAACAGCCCAACAGGACAGCTTGGGCTTCCCCCACCAACAGCCCAACAGGACAGCTTGTCTTCCCCCACCAACAGCCCAACAGGACAGGCAACCTCCTCTGCTCACTCGTCCAACCACTGTGCAACCTGTAAGTGAAGGCAGCTGCCAGTTGAAAGCATTTCCCTCTGAACAGCTACCAAAAAGCAGATGGTACTGTTCTGCCTGAGGGGTTTGCAGTACCACAGTTGTCATAAAAACTGTCAAGGAACTGCTCCTGGACTGCAGTGTCTGTGGAGGACTGAGAATTTCAGATTTCTYGACTCAGATAAAACTGAAAGCTCAAATTATATTCCAATTACAGTGATTAGATTTACTTTTAGTCTAGGCTATCTCTTATGATGTTAAAAATGCAATTACAAAACATGGAATCTCGGTGAGAAAGGCTTTTGAAATCACAAGGATATCTCCAACATGTAAGAACTGAAATATGATTTAGTGGATTTTATGAATAAGAAGGCAGCCATTAACCCTGTCAGTGAGACATCTGCAGTGCACCACACACTCCAACAGCCCATGGAAGCACTGAAGTGACAGGAAGGACATTCTTTGCTGGATGGCATCCCATGCAGAAAGAACAGCTTCTGGAGCCTCTTACATTTGATCACACGGCATCAGCTGGGGTCCGGCCTCCAGCTCAGGACTTGGCTCACTAACAAAGATGTCTCCTTTACAAGTGACTGACCAAATGGCRTGGTGAGAAGGAGGGCCTTGAATCCGTCTGCTTTCACAGCAAGACATGGTCAGCAAAGACAGCTACAAAACAAGAAGCAAAAAAAGCTTCCATTTACAGTGAGAACAAAAATTCCCATAGAGATGCTCAGTATTGTAAAACAAAGTTTTACCTCTGCACGTTCTTGCAAATTAGCTAAGTGAATTTGCAGCTTTTTCTCAAAAGGCACTAGAATTCAGTGGTTCAGAAATTATTACACAACCACTGGAAGCACTCTGGTTTGCAGGAGCTGAGCAGGATGAAGGAGCTCTCAGGTCTCCCCCTGCTCCAGTGCATCTATGCCTCTCTGCCTCTACAAAACACTGCAACAGTGACAACAGAGAATGGCTCTTCCACCAAGGCAGAAGAACACACTCACTAAAAACAAATCCTAACTCATTCCTGCCCTACTGCATATCCAGAGATAGGAAGAGAAGGAAAAACAATAGTGATGCTGCTGTGGATAACTGCAGCACCAGAAACCACGTAGACTTCAGAGACAAGAAACCTCAGGTGCCTCTAAGAAAGTTTGATCAGATGGTTTAAATACCTAAACTTAAAAACCAGATGAGTAACCTCAAGAGTGTAAATGTAACGCTGAGATTTCAGAGACTGSCTTCTATGTTTTACAGAATATATTGGCAAGTTGAAATGAGAGATGCCCAGAATTACCCAGTCGTGCATTTCTTGCTCTGTTGTGGCTGCCAGGCGGATTGGCCATCGCTGCTTTGTCCTCTCAGGTGTGTACAGTGCAAAGGAGTGTTTGGCTTCATTCAGCACTTCAACTATAATGGTCACCTCATTCAGGAACACGTGGATGTACTAAGACAAGAGAAAAAAAACTGTGATTAAGGCAAACCTTCCACAGAGCCAGCATTTTGCACTTCAGGTCTACAAACAAGACATTCCTGCCAAGGACAGCAAAGAATCGATTCCTGGTGCAGAGGGATGGGACTCAATTCCCATCTGATTCCTATGGCCTGCAGGCATTAATCCTACTTGTGAAGAGCCTGTCCAGCCAAGCCTGGCCCTTTCTTCACARCCAAGAGCATTTTGAACTTCCAGAAGAATTCCTAATGAGTGCAGAACTGATGGTTTAAGCAATGAGAGTGGTTTCTATCTGGGTGTTTCTGGTTCAGCACTAACACAGCTGCAGCTCAGAAAAGCCTGGRGCTTGCTGGTACCCAGGGCWACCTTTGAATTGGTTCCCAAACCTSAGAWGAGTAGCGTGCCACAATTTGCCTCTTTTAATGAAACTCTTTCCCTTTGCCAAAAGCAGCTCTCTGAGGGGTGTCCACACACCTTTTTCTCCTCGTGGTACATGTAGTAGATGAACAGGATGCTGTCACGCATCCCATCGCYCCCAGTGAACTGCTCCAGTGCCACTCGAACATCCATCCATTTGTGAGGCTTCCAGTTCCTCCACCACTGCAAGGCTCCAGTTTTAACCCAAACCGACTACAAGCAAACACAAAATTACACCAATAAAGAAACGACTTTTTCTTTTCTCCCAAAACCTTTCGTTGTGACCACAAGTTGTGTTTGCTGCAGGTTAGTCTGCATCACAGCTCATCACAAATTCACACATCTGTATCACACATTCTGATACAGAACACAGCAGAGTATTTGGGAAGCTGAAGACTAAATGAAAACTCCTAAAAGTGGATAGAAGGATACTGAAGCAGCACATGTACAGCTGCAGTAACATTTGACCTGTGCAAGAATTCAGTAGTACACAGGTACTGATTGACTCAAGTTTGCTCCTGTTACAACCTCTGTTTGGAGTTTAAAGGCTTTTGATATAATTTTTTTAAGTTTGATTAAACCCCTGGACTCCAAGTGTTTTTAATCAAATGAATTCCAGATGTCATTTGGCAATTAGCAATGAAGKGACCAAAAATATGAATGAATCTGAAARGACCYARGGAGTCCCAACCAAGGGAACATCAKACAAAAGTGCAGTTATTTATGTRCTGCCACCAACATTTGCATCATTTATTTATGCAAGTTAGATCAGTCCTAATGGCCACAGAGAGGGAGGCTCACCTACWTGAGTCACTGTTTCAATTAAGATGCCTCATCTTGTGGTGGAATAATTCATACAATTTTCCACTGTTGCAAACATTTCTCTGAGGATCTGAGGTTTTACAGTACTCAAATAATGATGACCAATGCTTTGTTTCTTCCTAAACAAAAGCAGCTGATAATGCTTTTAGGTGAATATTGCTGCTCCATGTTTGACAAGCTCTTAATTTCCCACAGGGAGCTCAGACATTAATAATCCAGGAGAGATGTCACAGAAAGAAATAAGGGCAAGAATATAAAGCTGACAGTAAGGTCAAACCAGTACATCAGAAATGTGTTATTGATTGCCAGATGTGTTTAGAAGGYAAGAGATGAATTTCCTCACTGCTTACCTGCTCAATAGCCTGCTCATAGTGCCTGAAATTCTCCAGTTCCCGCTTTGTTCTTTCACTGAGCTGCTGAAAAATCTGCTTCCTCCACGCTGCTGTCTGTGCAGGAGTGATAGACAGGGACAGAGACTGCACAGATGATGACAAACCTAGGAAAGAACCAGTAAACTCCAGTGAGCTTTGAGTACAGTTCTGTGAAAGGTRAAAGATGATGCTCCTTTAAACACCAGACTGAATCAACCCAGTCTAACAACATTTTTATAATGATTATAATTTGGAATCAATATATTATAGTCAACATTTGTAAATGATGCATAGAAATAGGATCACTAGATGATTTTATAGAAACTTTTAAAGCCATAACCTTGTTAAAATGTGAGTTTTGTCACTGAACTGCAAGACAATTAGATAATACACTGCATCMMRAGTTAGGTTGTTGTTAAATASTGGGATGCCACAGTCCATGGTTTAYTTTACCCATCTCARTAGGAATGGCAGAGWGAGGCAGTTTTTGCTGGCATCTGCATCTCCCAAGTGAGCCCTTTTCACTGCTTTCTGTTACTGTTCAGTGATTATGAGTTTAGCCCGAAATTGCAGTTTCAGTACAATTAAAGATGAGATGTAGATCCAGCACAGATTACTTTACACAATWGTTACAGGAACTCAAGTGAAAATATCACTTTTACATTTATATATCTGAAGCCCAGAGTGCTCTACAGTTAAATACTGTGCTCAGACATGGAACCTATTAGCAAACTGTAAGAGAAAGTGGGTTAGCACAAGTTTTGCACCAGAAAAACMAACCAATGTTTTTCTTACAGAGCATACTGAGCTGTGAGTGGAGCTGGGGTGTGCTGGGCAGTACCTGATGCTGGGGCAGTGAACCATTTCAGTGGGCTGTGCAGATCTACCAGACAACCTCCCCCTGACACCCAGGCCCACAGCGGGTGCTCATCGGCTCCGTACGCGTCTTCAGCCGCCACCGAGAACGCGCCCAGCGAGGAGAGGCTGGAGGTGTCTGCAAAGCTGCTCACAGACAGCACTGGCTGCTTCTGAGCCTCCTTCAAGTCAATGTTTATCCACTGCGCTTCTGCAGGAGGATTGGGGTTTGTAGATGGTTTCATTTCAAGGTTAGCTTTCTCATTAGTGGCTGAAGCAGCAGCAGCTTCTCCTTGTTCAGAGCACAGAGGATCCTCGGGGAGAGGTGCAGATGTTTCAGCCTGGCTGCCTGAGCTGTTCCCAGCAGCTGCAGCTCCCAGCAGGGCACTGCCAGGGCTCGTGGGCACGGCGAGCTCTGTATCAGAGGAAGGATCTGCATCACCCTGAATGACCGCGCTTGTTTGGTTCTGAATATCATCAGTAAAGAAACAGCCAGCACTGAAGGACAAATAGATAATTAATTATCATCCAAAACATTGGAAATTAGTACAGGCCTTAGATCACAGAYACACAGAAATTCACTTAGTGTTTCACTGTATGACAGAAACAGCAGACYTCTCTTTTAAAATTTGTATAGAATAGTATACAGATAAAATTTGTACTCAAATTCTATCATCAGGGGAAAGAGTCCAACACAAATTWGGCAAATTGGTCTAGTAAAACTGAAACATAGGAAGGAATTTCATTRATCTTTTCAAACAATTGGTGGTGTTGGCTGCCTACCACTCTCAGGAAAACACTGAAGCAACATCCCATTTTTCTGAATATGAAATAATGAGTAGGATTTTTTGAAGCCCATTATTAACTTTATGATTTGTCTTTGCTAAAGGAGACTTCTCAGTACACACTCTGACTCAAATAAGAAGCTTCTGCAGCACTCCCAGATCCACTGGCATGTGTTGCACAGCCCAGAGGCCAGAGGCAGTGGGGAATAACTGATTTAATCTCCCTAGGAAAAGAAACATATAGTGACACTCAGGAAGAGTAATTCCCAAGTGGAGTTGACACTCCATGATATTTCATAGACAGCATTTTCTCTTATTAGAAACTACTTCCAGATAGTGACAGTGAAGCCCAGAGGAACATGCTTTACTACAGGTGTGGGGTGAATTCCAGTGTGGGAGCTTCAGTTTCTACTCTGAGTGCAACAACTGCTGCTTATTGTCAATTTTGATGGCAAAAATGCAAATGCCTTTTGGCACACATAATGATTAGAGCTGTCTTCCCCACTCCTTCCTGTCTGTAAAGAAGTATCTCCTAGCATTGAAACTCTTGCTATACARAATCTTGAGCAGGTATTTCACAAAGTACCTGAGCAGACTTGTTGAGCTGCCAGTCTGAGATCTGTCACTCTCTCTGCCAGACACAATTGCYTTCCATGTCTTCCCACTGAGCTCACTTGGTGTGACACCTTGACGAAAATAAATGGCTCTGTCATCGCAGCCRATGCCCCAGACCTAGGGAAGGAAAGGGCCTGGTGAAGGAAGTGGTTTGGGATGCACTATCAGATACAAAAAAGGTGCAGTGCTGCAGAATTGAGAAAAAAAACCTGCTGCATGCAGCATTTTCCTTTTGTGTTCTTCCTCAATGCTGATATTTTTGATGCAGGACAAAATTCTGTAGCAGAACCAGTCTGCCACACAGGACACGTGCTGACTGTCACCTTCAGTGCAGAATTCAGCCYCTTTCCCTCCCAGCAGTTCAAGCTCTGGGTCCCTTTGTCCAGGCTGACAGCTCTCAGCACTGGGAGCAGAGCCTGCACCCTCCCAGCTGCTCTCACCTGGTTGTTTAATCCCACAGTCACCATCATCATCTCTCCGACCATTTCAATCCAGCTTGTCCCACAAGGATTATGGGAGTTCACTCCTCTTCTAAACCACACCTACAACAACAACAGAAAGTCTCAATTTTTCTCCTTCTGCAGTAGCTGGAATTTAGTTTCTTTAGTGGATTAGTCTTAATCTCTAATACTGACTTGCCACATTGTCCTAAGAAGTCCATTACTTCCTTGATTCCTTTTGTTATCAGATAAGGGTAAAACAATTCTCTCAATAATACCCACATTGTGTGTCCACCTGCAGCCAGAGGAGCCCACAAGGAGACTTTTTTCAGGATTTTCTGTGAGAAAGTTGCTTTCTCTGCTGTTGGAAAAATACTATTACATGTCAACATGTAGGCTATTTTTGATCACTCTGAATGGACTTCTAAATAGTGTTCTTACATTCAAACCCTAGAAACAGAGCTGCCAGAGGCAACTGTCAGAGGGATCTCTTTAGCAGCACAGCTCTTYAAATTGTCTGCCTTTAGATCTGACTTTACCAACCTGAAAGTGTCTATGGGCTGGGTACCTGGAAAAAGTTCTCTCTGTATGCAGCAGCAGCTCCCTTAGGAACAGTTGGATGAATCCCATAAGATGAGGATGCCTGAGTGCACCGTGGCACATCTGAAGGCAAACACACCAGCTGATSTCCATTTATTCCAGTGGATGGAGCTGGCAGATGGAGCAGCCTGGGCACAGTCTGTTCCCATGGCTCAGCTGACAAGAGAGACTCACTGCCCAGAGAAACTGCACTCAGCTCCTGCCTRGCTTTGAGATCAGTGTGAGGGAGCAGGAGTTGGACTCCATCACCCTTTTGGGTCCCTTCCAGCTTAAGACATTCTATGAGTCTAAGTTAAAACTCCAGTAAAAAAATAAACACACATCCACATAAGAGATAGCTCACCTAATAAATAACAAAACCCCYCTGATGAAGAGGGAACATTTGCAGTAGGAAGATAAAAGAATCATGCAAACAGTGTAGATGAGAATACTCCCCATGCTGCTTTTGATGTAAAATTTAGTCCTTGTGGAAACTGGAGTCACTTCAATTTTGATGCCTAATATCCCTTAGAAGAGGCCTCATATCCAGCCCCACCAATATCCCCATCACCTGCCAAATCTGTCTGACTTGAGTTTAGAAAATTCCCTCCAAGAGAAAAGCAGAAAGTCTTCCTTAAATTAAATTCAACTATCACAAACCACAGAGCATTCCTGTAACAGCAAGGAAAGCTGGATTTCCCTAAACCACAGAGACAGAGTCCAAATCACCAATGCTTCCTGTGCAAGTTACTCTCCTGTTTGAGAACAGCAGACAGGGAAAGGAAGAAAAAAGCAGAAGCAGAGCATGAGCCTCTTACTTTTCTGTCCTTTGTAACACACCACACCACATCAACACCCACAGACACGTGCATAATCCCATTTTCAGAGCTTGGAGACTCTACAATACTCCAGGAAGTGCCTGCAAAAGASAGAACCCAGAAGGCATTGTAGGTAGTTTCTTTTTCAACACTATACAAATCCAAGGGGTTTCCAGCCAAATGTAACCAGCTTTACCTTGAGGATTATTCCTGTCAATCCCTTCTCTCACAATAGCTTGCCCTTCCCAAAGAGTTGCCCAAAGGAGGTCATAGGGTCCACAGCTGATCTGTACAACTTCACCAGGAGTGCTGACTAAGGACCATGTGGAACCTTCTGGATTGTGATGGCAGACATCTTCTCTGTACCATACCTAGACCAGTTAAAAAAAACAAAAACAAAAACAAATGAAATAAGAAAAAAACCCACTACAACAATGAAACCATTGACACAAGTGTAAAGACAAACTGGAAAGAACAGTTCTCCTTTAACAACAGGATTTTTTTATGTGGTTTATGGCACTCTGACCTTTAAAGGTACATTTTTTTTATGTTGATTATGCAGCTGAAGCTATTTCCTTATGTACCAAGGGAGGAGGCTGTTCCACAGAGCAGCTTTTATCATGGAACTGAATCTGGATTGGGTACAGGAACCTATTGCTACAAGTTCTGTGTGTATTTCAACATTTAAACCACTTCAGTGTATCTCAGAGCATATTATATAAACCAAGAGTGAACAAATACATAACACAGAAATGTTACTGTTAGCTGACAGCCTGACCTCACTTTCACTGAACAGATCTTGCCACAATATGGGGAAACATTCCATTCTGTGTGCAGCCTTTGGKAGTCTTGGACTGTGCACTTTTCTACAGAGCAGAGTCAAATAGGAAGGTCAAACATAGAAAGCATCCTGTGGCAGTCACATGAGTGCTCCACAGCATGACTGCTGAGTGCTAAATCTTCATTTTTAGAAGTACTTTATTCCCCTGGGGACATTCATTTGGGAGATAAAAGAATCTTACAATGGCAGTCAAGCAAGCCTGTAGACTGGGATGCTTGTCACGTATTACTAGAAAGTATGAGAATTTTATTTTAAACAATTTAATCAAGATTGCTTGCCTCTCCAGACAGTGCCAAATGTGACTGAAAGCTCAGGCTATCTGTTAAAAGAATTACATTCTATCCTGTGAGACCACAAGGTAGAAAATGTCTAGAGACAAAGGAGCATCAGATTCATGCTGTAAGGATAAAGCAAGGAAAAACAAGAATCRTCTTTATAGCACAGAGCAAAAGAGGAGACCTCGTGGGAGGCCTAAAACCAACAACAACAACAAAGAAAGATGTCCAGTTTTCAATAGAAAATAAAATGAAAACATTTCAGAGCTGGATGCCACATTGGCAGGTCAGGAGGTGACCACTTGCTGATCAGTAAGTCTGAAAACCATTTTGTAAACTCTTGAATCATCCCTATCTCTCCACCCCAAAAGCACAGCACAATGTTTCACCAGAACCTTTGTCAGGTTTTAAGGCTCCTCCTCGTGATTACCAGCACCACAGGCAGCATTCTGGGCATTTTTCCAAGATATAAGGTACTACTCAGCCTAAGTAAGATTCACCTGTTTTAAGATTCACCTGTTCATAAGATTCACCTGTTTTAAGATTCACCTGTTCATAGATTCACCTGTTTTAAGATTCACCTGTTCATAGAGGTTAAAAGCTTCCATAAAACAGCAAGTAAACCTTTCCATTTACAACACAAGTTGTTACATAATGGAGTCCCAAAGCAGCTTTTTGTCCTCTGCCAGATGCAAAAGCAGTGKATTTCCTTACCAACATAAGACAATACCAACCCTGCCTTGCTTTCCAAGTATTTAACTCCTTTTCACTAGTAATTGATAYTGGAAATCTCACTCATACCCTTCCTTGCAGAGACACTGCCCACACTGACAGGCGGCCCAGGGGCTCATCCGTGATCTCCCATCCTCCGATGGAGATGTCATTGAAGGGGTCTGGCAGCTGGTCTGGTTCATCATGGGACACAATCTGGAGCAGAGAGAAGCAAGAATGAGGACAGGAGACACTGCAAACGGGTGGCCTAAATTGTTCCTTGCAGATTGGTTATGTTATGTGGCACTCCCTGGACATTCTCCCTCTCATTCAAGGCTTCCATATGTAGGGAGGGAAATGCTGCCAAGGCAGCACAGAGAAGTCTGTTCTGCACCTTAAAGGACATTTTAACTCACAGAACAGTGCACACAGAATTGGAAAGCTGAAAGATCACTAATTATAAATTTTGGATGATCTTAGAATGGAACAACGATTATTAAAGAACAGTTTTTCACAGAGATAAAGGACACAGCTGGTGAATGATGCAAAGCAGGTGCCACCTTGAACAAGAGTGCTTTGCCACACAACCAGAAGAAGTAAAAACGTTGGTCTGAAATTTGCAGAGGAGCTGAGCATCCCTCTCTAATTGCAACACCATGAATTTGGCACCTTATTACCACAGGCTTCTATGAAAAATTCCAGCCTGCCATTTATGCTTACAAGAATAGCAAGCTGAAAGTGAAGGAATCCAAATTCAACCTACAGAGAAGTCATAAAAATTTCCCTGCACTTATAATTGATTATTTCAGACAATCAGTTTATTTAATATTTAAAAGAGATCCAGAACCTTTGCCCAAATGTCCCGTGATTTGTATCTCCTGTATCTGATCCATCTCCTGCGTCTGACACAAGAATTCCATTTCTTATCCTTTGTGTAGGTGCTGGGGAAGTCTATGGCGTAAGTCCAGCCCTGCAAACAGAGATTTTCTTGTATGAAAAACAGGATCAAGGGAAAGTTTGAAGTCATAACTCAGAGCAATTCTGCACAAGACACTCAGTGTGTCTCTAGAGCCCTGATTAACAGATCAGCTAATTCCATGAATGATTTATGCATCATACCCAAATTCCTCTGCATGATATACACACAACAAACAAGACACAGTAAAACATTTTAGTTTCTTCATAGTAAAGACCTTAAAGAATGGCATTCAGTTGCCAGGATTTTGTGGCCTGATCAAAAGAAAAAGGCTTCTATAGAAGCCACTATAAACTTCAAAAGCCACAAGATCCTTCCTTCTGTTGTATTAGTTATTTCCCAGAAAGAAGCACCTAGGGCAAGTTTTATTTTTACAGACTTTTTTACACTTCTATAAAAATTCCTTTCATTTTATAGACTAAAGATCCCCAGAACAGATCTCTTTTTGGTAGTGTTCACCTACCCCTTTCTCTGTTGGTTCCCCTCCAATATTTTCATCCACATACCAGTCAGACTCCCACTCCCAGTGTGGTGAAGGCAGTGTGAAACTATCAAGCTGCTGGTGTTTTAGCCCGCTCACATCACTCCACTGCCAGCGGTCACTGGGCAGTAATTTCTCACAAAAGCCACCAACTGGATTCCAGCGCTGCCAGAAATAATAAAGATTTGGTTTGAGATGGGATTATCTCACTGAACATCTACAGGGAGTCACAACTGACACATTTCTTACTTTCTGCAGTAAAAGAGGAATAAATTCCTGGGCTGAATGAGAAAGTGTTCACTCCACGAGCCCCTCCCTGAGAGCCTTTGGAGGAAGCTTTTTTTAAGTCTCAAAGAAGGGCTGACTGTAGAGCTCATCCCAACCCAGTCATCTTCAGCTCCATCAACAGGAACATCTGATGCTATCTGATGCTTTCTTTTTTCCTTKGGTGATGCAGGCACCATGACACTGCAGCTTCAGGGTAATGCTGTAGAGATGGCCTTGGTATCTCTAAGCTGCTTCCTAGAGAAAGATGATTCATGTCTTGTCTGCACTAGAAAAACAGCACTGCCTCTGCCAGCAACTGTGTCCAGGGAACTGTATCAGCAAATCTCCCCTGGATCTTATGTTATACCAGAGACGTTTGTTCTCTAATCTGCCTTGAATCAGTTACAGAACAAATAACACAAGGATTTTCACCAATACAGCTGTCATTTTTCTCTCCCCCCAAACTCCTACATACTATAGAAATACTGGCAAAATCTCTCCTGTAATACTGGCTTACATTTTAGGGCATGTGGAAAATGAGTGATTGAAAATCTGTCTRTAATTTTTACACAATCCTGTGGATTTGCTGTCAGTCCAAGCATGTGGCTGTGTGACAGAGGTACTGTACCTGTCATACCTGGTTCTCATAGGTTTCCTCCTGGTATCTGATGGGAACATCTCCCGAGAACACGTAGGTGTACACTTGATGGTCACAGGCTATTCCCCAGCAGCACTGTTTGACAGCAGAGACCCGTTTGAATTCCAGCTGGGTGTCCTTACAGAGCTCCCAGTACTGGCCAACAGTGGACAGAGTGTAAACCCTCCCGAAAATGTCKACAGCCCACAAAAGGGAACTGGGCATGGCCATATCTGAAAGGCAAAAATGAGGTTAGTGATGGAAATGTTGGGTATAAAAATGGMTCTTGAACCTACTGCAGATCAGTTGTGCTCTGAGCCATCATCAGTCAAATTAAATAGAGATGTAAGGGATGATTTTTTAAAAAGAGCCTGTGCAAAGTTCTCAGATCTCTGACAAGATCTCTTTGTCAGAGCTGTGTGGCCAACCCTGAAAAGCCACATGAAAGACCTTTCTAGCAGCCCACTATTGTCCATCCTCCAGGAGCTCATGAAGTGAACAGAACAGCTCTGGGGATGGATATCAGCCCTGCACGGGGATGAAGCAGCAGAGACCATTCCACAGCAGGCAGCTCCTCTCTCAAGATCTGGTGATGCTGGTGGTGCTCACCCTTCTCCATAAGCACTCATCCAGTGTTAATCCATGGGAATCTCTTTCAAAGCATTCTGGATCAGATCCAACTTCAGGATCTGATCTTTAGTAATGTAGGTGTGATGAATTTAGGCAAACACAGAACATGGTTTGGCAGCAGAGACCTGTGTGAGTTCCATTCCAGTTCTGTCACATAATAACCTGTCATTTTCTGGGCATTGCAGCCCTGCCCTTCTCAGTCCTTTCACAAGTCAAGAAAGGCCAACACAGGTCACTTCTGTGTGCCATCAGAACAAATCCACCAAGCAGTGTTTATAACACAAGAAAATATTGAGCATTTAATCTTAAAACTAGAATGCCAGAGAGTCTGGAGYAAAGGAAGCATTGTGGATAATGCAATGAGGGTTGCAACCTAGCCAGGTAACAAAAGTGATGCTTGGGCAAATACATAAATGATGGCCTGTACCCAGAATGACAGTTCAGGCAGACAGAAAAACACCTGGAACAATTCAGAAAAATGTGAGAGTTCCAAAGATTATAAAGTTAAGAAAAACAGATGGGACAATCAAAATAACCCAGGCAGATGCAACTGGTTTAAAATACTCAAGGCAGCCAAGACAAGCGAGAGTTTCTGCATATTCTTTCATCTGAAGTTTTGAGACAGTGTTTGGGGAATCATGGGAAAATCCTTAATGCGTTTGGGATTATAAACTTTTGAGACTTCACTTYAGGCCCCTTTGCAGTGGCTGTGCTGCAGATGAAGATGGATATTGCTGAGTTTTGAAGGATGCTCAGTGCTTGTGTTTTATGTGCTTTTCAGTGAAGGCAGAAGTTGTCAAATATTCTCAGCCTGGGCCTGGAAAWAATCAGATCTGCTGAATTATTCCTCACCCCACAGCTCAGCCAGSTAATTTCTGATAGAACTAATGCTACTTAAATGAAGATGACATATWATTAATTAAAATTTCCAGCGGCCCGACACATCGCTGATTGCTACTGAATGCAATACAAATATCCCAGCTCCTTTCGTATGATGAAAGCAATGATGTTSCTCGGGAGAGCAGGGCGCTGTCCCCGAGTTCAGGCCGCGGCGGCGGCAGGATGTGAACCACCAGAGAAGCCGTCGTGTGGAAGGCACACCGCGCACACATTTCTGCTCCGTGTCACTCGAACCGAGCCGAGACTGCTCCGGTCCCCCCATCCAGACACGGACGCGCCGCTCGGAGCCGCGGGGATCGCGGAGCGCTGCACAAACGCCACAGGGCGCAAATCGCGCTCGGCAGCCCCGCACGGGGCCCTCCGGCCGGGCATTAAAGCCGGATCGGCTTAGGAACGGCCGAGGCCGGGCACGGACCCGCTCCCCGATCCCCGCTCCCCGCGGGCTGCGGCAACACCCGCAACGCCCCCGCGCCCCCCGCGCCCTCCCCGGGGCGCTGCGCGGAGCTGCCGGCACCTCCCCATGGCTCTGCTCGGCTCCCAACAGCGCCGGGGCCGCGGGGAAGGGCGGCGGGGCCCGATCTCCACCCGCCCTGCCCTGCCCGGCCCGGCCCGGCCCGCCCCGCGATCAGCCAGCGCCGCTGCCCCGTCCCATCCCGTGCCGTGCCGTGCCGGCCCCCGGGCTCGCCCCTCACCTGCCTCCCGCCGCCCGGCGCCGCTCCCGGCGGAAGGAGCCGCCGCGCCCCGGCAGGGCGGCCCCGCGGAGCCGCGACCGGCGGGGAGCGCCGCGCCCACAGCGACACCGAGCGCCGCCGCCATTGGAGCGGGGCCCGCGCGTCACGGCCCGGGCGGCGGGGCCGGGAGAGGGATCGGCCGGGAACGGGGACGGGAGTGGGATCTGCCGGGAGAGGGGACGGGAGAGGGATCGGCCGGGAGCGGGGACGGGAGAGGGATCGGCCGGGAACGGGAGAGGGATCGGCCGGGAGCGGGGCTGGGAGAGGGATCGGCCGGGAACGGGGCCGGGAGAGGGATCGGCCGGGAGCGGGGACGGGAGAGGGATCGGCCGGGAGAGGGGACGGGAGAGGGATCGGCCGGGAACGGGGACGGGAGAGGGATCGGCCGGGAGCGGGGACGGGAGTTCTGACGGGGCCGGGCCTGGCCTGGGAGCGCCGGGCGGTTCCCGAGGGAACCCCCCAGAGCTGAGCGAGGGACTGGGGCGAATCTCACACGGGAGGGCTGAGGGAGCCGGGCCTGATCAGCCTCAGAAGAGGCGACTGAGAGGAGACCTCATCCATGTGTATAAATATCGAAAGGAGGCGTCAAGAGTTGGAACCAGGTTCTGCTCGGTGATGCCGAGCAATAGAACGAGAGGCAATGGGCACAAACTGATGCACGGGAGGTTCCACCTGAACACGAGGAAAAACAACTTTCCTGTGCAGCGCCTGAACACTGGAACAGATCAGTCAAGGATATCGATCAGGTCAATCAGATAGTCAAGGATTCCCAAATCTGTCCATTCAAATATCCTAAGAAAAAGTATCCCAGACCTTCATATATCTCACAGGTCAGGAGGTGACAAGGCATTTCAAAGGGAACTGGCTGATCTGTTGTGAATCCTGTCTGAGGAGTTTCTAGTTGTTGGTTAAGGAGAATATGTTTGCCTTGCTCTTGTCCTGCAGGTTCATTTGGTTTTGATGTGCAGAAGGTTGTGGTTTGGGGGGTTGATGCACACATTAAATTCTCTAGAATGATTCCCATGTGAGGCAAAACCACCCTGTCTGAGTCGTTTCCTGCTGAGCTCTCAGGACACTCAGCTCACTGCAGTGCTTTGGTCTCTTGCACAGACTGGGGCCCACCTCAACACAGAAKTTTTGCTCCCTAGTAGTGTTTTGATGATTTGATCATTGTAGCAAAACTTATTTATAAAGATCAAGTACAGTTTAGATCCCAGAAAATTCATTTTGCAAGATTTGTAGTGTTCATGACTCTGATACATTTGATGTGTTCTCAGTTCCATTGCCACTTGGAGTAGGTGGGAACTAGATTGCAGAAGAATGTATGGAGCATTTCCTGGGATCTTTTCATGGATTTTAAACCACAGGCCTGTAACTTTGCAAAATGTTTAATGACTTCCATTTTTTATGKTTTTTTCCCATGAAATGGGGCTAACCCTTCCCTGCCGCACAGGACCTGTCCTGGGAGGGAGACACAATGTTTGCTGTGGTTTTAAGGGCTGTGCTGGCACCTGTAGTGAAGGACAAACAGGGCATTTCCAAACGCAAAGATTTGGTGAGTGAGACAGCTTAAGGGATAAAGGTGTGGAGGGAAGAAAGTTTTAACTGGACATTTAAGATCTTTACACCATCCGTCTGTGCAGTCATGGAGAACGTGGCTTTCGGAAGCAGCTGAGTCTGGTGAAAGTGCTGYTGAACTGGTTCCTTTGCTGCACAGCAGCACCCCCTTGGCTTTCCTCTTCCTTCCTGTAGTGTTTGTTTCTTAACTTCGGTGTTTCTTTCAACCATGAGAGTTTTCTTCTGCTTTTTGCTCAATTTCTTTTCATAAACATTGTTTCTTTTTACAACATTCCGCCTCTGTGCCATCACTCTAGAACTTTTCCCGTTAATACTC